AGGGCGCACCGCCCAGCTTGGGGCGTATATAGCTGAGGCCCCCAACCAGGAATGGTCTCCGCGTAGGGCGTTGTTTTACGTGGCGGAGAACCTCGAGATGGAGGGCGTACACACCCCGGCGACGTGGCTTCATAACCACGCGCTGGATCCAGAGGCAAGTACGCCCGAATGGGCGTCGCGGATGCTAGAGTCGTATCCGACTCGCCGCGCCAGGATAGTGGAGGAGAGCACTACTGAACAGCAGTCGGGGCAACAATTGCAACCACCACCACCTGAACCCGCGAACCAACAATATGCGCAACCGTTGGTTGCAGAGGTCGCGGACGAGTCACCGTTCTGACTAAATACAGCCTACGAAACGGCGACCGAGCAACTGCAGGAGTTGCCGGACATGGGCCTCGGATTGATACAGGATGGGAAAACTGTTCAACCGAACAGTAACCCTGCCCCTGAATTTCATCAACGGTTAGAGGCTGCACTGGCTCGTACTCGAGACCAGCGTGAGCAGAACGCGGGCATCGCGGGTCAATCGAACCGCGTTGCGTCTCGTCCCGGAAGTCGGGAGTCGCCTACGACCCTCGCCTCAAGGACACCACCGTCGTATCCCCCAGGATACGGACCGCAAACCACCCGATCGTCCGCGCCGAATCCGCCGAACCAACAGTCGGCCGCGACGGTTAGGGTCACCAACGTAGCGGCCCAGCCAGAACGTCGCTGGAGCGTCCACTTTGGACAGGATAACGCCCACCGCGCGCCGACGAGATCGTCGCCGTTAGCGGCCTACCCTCCCTACGTCGCACTCGGCGTGTCAGCACCGCCCACTCACGTTCATTCGAACATGGGCTCGATAAGTGGGCATCGCAACCGGCCTAGTGCACCACAGGTGCATCCAGCCGCTTCGGCCGCCCCATACGTAGGAGCGACGTCCACCATTGGTGGATATCAGCTGCCTCTAATGGGTACGCCAAGCCAGGTAGCGGCGAGCCCTGACCACACCAATCTCCGAGACAGTCTCGGAATCAGCATGATCCTGAGCATATTCGACAAGTGTCTGGGTGAAGACCCCGACGAACCACTACCGCCATACCTCAAGCAGATCAAACTGAAGGCACCCGACCCTTTCGATGGAAAGGACGACAACGATGCCTTCAACGTCTGGCTAGAGAATCTCTTGTCCTATCTGGACACCCTCAGACTGAGGGGACCGGACTTGGATATTCAGAGAATATCCTTCACCCGTCAGTGCTTGACGGGTGAAGCGGCAGTCTGGTATCAGCAGACGGTTACGTCGCTGATACGGCCAGTAGGTAGGCCCATGTCACACCTCGAGTCCATCATAGGACTATACCGCCGTTTCATCCTAACGGATCAGTTCGCTGTAGCAGCGCGCGAGTTTGCGAGCGTTCGATTCGAACCTCACAATGGCGGTGTATCGAGGCTGTATGACCGACTGGTCTATTACGCGGAACGAATGTTCCAGCCACCGACTCAACAGGACATCAAGGAGCGGTTTGTAGCAGCGCTACCCGCTTCCATCGAGCGCGAGCTGACTATCAGCCGGGGCCTGCACATTCGCCGCGACGACTTCGTGACATTCGTGTCTGCCGCGCGCGAGATAGAGGAAGCAATGGCTTCCTTTAGGTCGCGTCGAGGGCATGATGGGTCACAACAGCAGACGTCGACGTCAACGCCGCCGCGCCATAGCTCGACTTCCAAAGGGAAGTACCGAGCGGATCGACCCCCTTCTCAACAGGCCCCACAACCTCGACCGGGTGGTTCGGGTCAGAGACCAGAACGGAAAGGGCAACCTTTCCATAAGGACGGTCGACCACATCGTCAAGAGGTACCGCGACAGGGACAGTCGAAATCGACGCCTCCCAACATTGGATCATCGGGGGGTAACAACCCCAATGTCAAATGCTTCAAGTGCGGCAGACAGGGTCATATTTCGACTGACCCAAAGTGTCCGCAATATGGCAAGCCCGGCCGTATGTACGCCCAGCGGATCGTCAACGCCGACGACTTGGACGGTGAGGCCGACGGCCTCTCTCAGCAGATCCTACAGCAACAGAGCGGTCCAGAGGACATGCCTGGAGAGGTCCAGGGCGACGTCGATGACGACGTGGATCTAGCGGAGTAGGATTACGACGCCTACCACTTGGACTACGATTCTCCAGAGGATGAGCCTGACTGGGATGACGACGAAGGCCGCCGTGACGAGTTCTACGTCATGCGCGCCGAACCCGTCTTCGCGACCCCGGACGAGGAGAAGGAGGCGGTCCCGTCTTCCATCGAATACGATGCGAAGCGTATCCTGCAGTCCTTCCAATTGGAAGCCACGACCACACCTACCAAATCCCTCAAGAATGCGTGGCTGTACGATTCCCGTATACGCCGGTTGAAGGATCCAAAGGATCAACCAGTGCACGACCCAGAAGCCCAGCAGCCGATATGCATCGAGACGATGATTAACGGCGTGCCTGCGTACACCCTGATTGACACGGGTTGTACGATGGTGGCCATGTCACCAGGGCAGGCCTTCATCTCCAAGGTGGATCGAATCGATCTGCAGGAGCAGATGAGCCTACAGCTGGGCACGAAGGGCAGCCGCACGCGCATCAACCACGGTGCCTGAGCCATGATTAAGGTTGGCTCGATGAGCGAGCCGTGTTATTTCGACGTGGTC